GGGAAGCCGAGCTGGTGTGTGGGCGGTCGAAATCTGTTAAGTACTGTGGGGGAATGGGGAGCAGGTGAGGAAAGGGAATTAGTCTCCAATAACAAAACAAAACCAAACGCCGAAAACAACCCCACCCCAAGCAGACAAACAAAACCCTCCCACAAAGCCAAACTGAAGGTCGTGCTGCTGTGGCTTCATACTGAACTTGTAGACATGGACAGAAGTACTTGAGGAAGCGGGTGGGTCCCGAGGGCATGGCACACCAGTCAGTGAGGAGAGGCCTTGTGAAATCGGGTCATTGGCTTCACTGGAGGTCCCTGCGTCTTGCCTGACAAATCCCTTTTGTTTTCAGGCTCTCATTTTGCTGTATATTTTTGACATTGCCATGATTACTCATTTATACGGTTCCTTCCTTTTTGAGGGATTCCAGAAGTGCCTCTCGTGTGATGTGGGGGGGGGGGTCTGTCGCTGCAGTGTGGTGACTGCGGTTGTTTAAAACCACTGAGCGATGCTCCTGATGAGCCGTGTGAGGTAGGGAACCATCCTGTCAGCCTCCTATAGCACACGTTGTTTCCTCCCTTGTCACCAGAGCCTGGCTACTCTGACTTATCCAGGCTGCCTCAAAAACAGGAGGAGCATGGCTGACAGTGTCACCTTTCAAGCACAGCTGAGCTCTCTGCCTTGAATGTACAGCTCATGTTTGGGGAACTTGGAGACAGTGAAACAGCTGCCAAAAAGCTAAGGACCACCACTGACACCTTCCCTTTCTGTTCCATCTTCTGGTGGTGCCTCTGTGACCTGCCCTTTGTTACAGCAGCATGCGCCAGCCTGTGTATTCAAAATGCAACAAAAATGCAAACTATGCCCTTCCATGTCAAAACCCTCCACTGAGCACACAATTTTGCCTTGAGGGAGATGACAAGAGAATGAATCATATATGACAGATGTCAGTCACATCACTTAATGGCTCACTGAAGGTACTGGGATACTACTGCGATGTGGGCAATGTAAAAGCCAGAAAGAACAGAATGAACCTAGAAGAGGAATTGAGAGAAAGATCAAACCTAGTCAAGCTGGAATGTCAGCAGAGCACTGGAGTGCAGAGCCTCTGCACTGCAAAATAGTCCTGGGGGTATATAGTAACTGTGGACATTTTCTCTGTTAGCTGACTGAAGTCAGAGAATGATTGAAAGTTTTCATTGAAATGAATGCACTTTGGGACCGTATTTTAAGAAAAACTCAAAACCACTAGAGAAAGACAAAGGACCCTTACCCTGACTCTGTAGATTAGCACCTATGCCATCAAGGTGTTGTTCTTTTCCTTTCTGTTTCTGTCTTCTAAAATAAATTTATAAGGCTGGTGGTTATTTCGTACTGGCCCTTCAGAGACACTGAGAGAAACTCCTTATCATGCAGTTTAGGGACTTACTTGTTGGAAATTTTCTCAGAGCCCACGTATAGGGCACTCCTCATGAGTCCAGCCCGAGTGCCCAGAAATGCCATCTCAACACCCGCCTCAGTCTCCCTGTGGAACAGAATGCACAAGCAGAAGCAAACAGTTCTCAGAAGAATGGCCATCTCCCTGCCACAGGGTGAGGGTCTTCCAAACTAGAAGCCACACCTGGAGAAGTGGTCCCAAGTTCATTTGCAATATAACCCATTTACAGCAAGAGTGACACTGGCTCATCCTTTCTAATGTCAACAGGTTGTTACTGGCTAACAATTGTCAGGCTTAGACCTGTGCCTAGATTCACACCTTTGAAATTTGCTAATTTAGGTCTCTTCTAAGCAGACCATAAGCTCCTCTTCCCCTGCTAGCCCTGCTCCAGGCTACCTGCATGAGGCTGAAGTGGGGCAGAGGGACTGCAGAGAGAGAATGGCTGTCTCAGGCATGCAGGGGATGGGCAGGGTAGCAGACTGACTCTGAAGCAGTGGATTGATTTGGATGCATCTTGCTGGGGGTATCTAGGGCACAGATGGGACAGCTACATGGTTCAGAGCCTGCTGCAGCATGGTGGTCTTAAAGTGAGGAGTGTGTTGGTGTAGTTATTTAAAGGTGTGCTGACAATTAGCATGATTGCTGCTGGCTCAAGCTCTGTAAGTGGTAGCGATACTGGTAACTGAAACGGGGACAGGAGTCCTGTGGCCACACATCTGTGTAAGTAGCCTGTTACCTGCTGAAAGTAGATCTGTGTGACATGATACTAGATACTACAAGTGACAGGTGCCTCGCTGAAAATAATAAAGTAGAAATTTGTTTACTGAAGCCAGCCTGTCCACTCCCTTCCTGAGGCTCAGTCTGAAGCCATCACCAACAGAGACAAGATCAAACTCCCTTTTCTTCTCTGCTGGAAAGGGAGAAAATTCCTTGTCACCTGGGATGGAACTTCTGCTACAGTCATATGGGAAGTTGAGCCAAACCACGCTGCTGCTGTTCAGAGGGATAACTGATGCATGGGGAAATAACTCCTAATAACTTTAAACTGAAATGGTCTCAGGTGCCCTGAGATATCAAACTCTATCAACTAAAGAGGCAAGTGCAGTGCATCTGAGTTAGGTGCTTGTGATGGGTTAGCAAAGAACTGGTGCTGAACACCTCTTGCAGTGACACATCTAGATCACTGCAGTCCTCCAGTGATATTCAGACAGACTGACCACACTAAAGGCTCCCCTGAGAAGGCCCAGCGTGCTGGAGTCCACTCCTGAGATACATTTTCTGAGTTATTTATAAAGCTACTGAGCTATTTCTATCAGCTTTTTGGGCTATTTCTAATGTTTCTTATATGCTGTGCAATGGTCTGTGACTGTTTCGGGCACTGTATAAGCCCATAGCATCTGGAGATACATCTTCTGTGGTGTTTTACTCATATTTATTTCTTGTATACTTACTTGGACATATTGAGGGCTAGAGCTGTCCAGTAGGCCTCCATGGGTGCAGTGACCACTGCATCAAATAGCACTTCCTGGACCAACTCCTCATCACCTAAGAAGAAGAGAGAACAACAATCAGGAGACAAAGACATGTCCCTCCTTAGATGTCTTAGTGAGTTAGTTGTTACAGAGGATCTGCCTGGCCCTGGGCAGTGAAGCAACATGGCACAAAAAAGAGGCCTCCCCCCACAGGGCTGACAACAGGACCTACCACTCTGGATGGAAGAGACCTCAAGAACAGATGTTACAGCTAATGAATGTTATTAATTAATGTTATTAAGTTATTCATCAGGCCTTCACTCCAACCTTTTCCTTGATTAAACAGGCTGTCCACAACCATTTCCTCAAATCTCTACTTTGGCCTTTCTCCTAGGTCCCCTGTAGAAGGACACCCCAGACAACACATTCCACTCAATGAGGTTCTTCAAAGCCCCTAGTGAAGTCAGCTACTTCTACTACAGCTTCTACTCTGTGTGTTCATTGGCTTCTCTGTTACCTCTTTGTCCTTCCTGTACATTTCACAAAATGCTGTCCTGTCCTGGTTTCCTGCAGATGCTCAAGCCAGTCTAGGCTACCAGTCTAGTCCAGCCTGGATTGAGACTGAGGGGTGTTTAGGAAGGTTTGAGTATGCCATGTGCTAAATGGCATTCTCGAAGATCCCATTTATTTGACCTGCTTCATTTCTGTATTACCCTGACTGCGTACATTTTCTGCTGTGAGAATGTGATGACTATCATATTGCAGGTGTGCCCCTTTCAGTGCTGTTCTAGATGGAGCCACCTGCTCCGTTTCAGTGTTTCTACCTCCACTTACTGGGTTGAGGTCCCAGGTCTCCCCCTAGTATTTGCTCTCCAGCTTCCTTTCTCCTTTCTTTGTCACAGTTGTCAGAATCTTTTATCCATCCTTGCTGTCATTCAGACCTCAAAACCAGAGCTCACCAGCAGATCTTTCCCTCCCAAGACCCCACATGCGTAGGATGTATCCAAATCCTATTTCTTTTTCCTACACAGCACTTCCAAATCTGCACGTTTCTCCCTGTCAGCTCTCCTGAAACTTTCCTCCTCCTCCCTGACCTATTCAACTCATAACATCTCCTCTTTTCAGCCTTCTCCAAAGACAGTCAGGAGGGGTCTGCTCACATTGTGCAAGAGAGGAACAATTATGGGATTACATTTGTTTTTAGTTTTAAGAGAACCCCATCCTTGTGCCCAAGGTTTGTGCCTCTCAGGCGGGGCATTACATACAAATCTTGTGCTTGGCACAAGACATCAGAAGGGCCCGTTCAGTGCCTGGGACTCACATTCCAGGTCAGGTTCCTCTCCGGTGAGGAAACGGATCACAGCCTCCAGCTGGCTGAGCTTCCGGTGGTCCGGATCAATGTCGGTGATACAGTAAATCCTGGTGGGGAGGGGAGAAGAAGCCCACAAGGGCAAAGAGAAACCACAGTCAAGCAAATGCTCCTAGAAAATAATAACTGCAAACAAAAATTCAGTGAGAAAGCTTGGGCTGCAGAGATTTTGCCGCGGCTGCATGCTGTGCCCACTCAAAATCTCACAATGTGTCTTGTCTGTAAGTCAAACTCTACCAATAAACTAAACAGCAATTAATCTGACTGCTGCACTTAGTAGGGCTGCTGTTGTCTTCTCCAGCATAAGCTCACAATGCAACGTAGCAGTCCCAATTCCCTCCAGCAGTTATCTGTATTGTATGTTGTGTAAGATGTATGCCCGTGTCTATATAAACAATAACAATGTGATGGGAAGACCTGAAAAGCAGAGGGCCATGTGCAATGTAAGACCAGGCTGGGAGCAGAAAAAAGCAAGAGACAGAGAAACAACATATGAGGTGAGGAATGATCTTGCAGTATGATAACAGTGGCAACAAAAGCTGTCCCAAAGGGACCCAGCTGCAGCAGCCTCAGGACACAGTTTGGAGAGAAGTGGGAGAATGTATTACAAATGCTCTGTATCATAAAGAAGCCAGTCTTCTAATCCTGCTTCCAATTTTGACCGCTTGATTGTCAGGACAAGGGAGAGAAAGGGGTTATAAGAGAGAATTGCAGCTCATAAAGGGGCTGAAAGGAGTGGTTTATGAGAGAAGTCTAAGAGAAATGAATATGTAAAGTGTGGTAAGCTGATACCCCAAGTTAGGAGTAGGAGAAGGAGAAGTCACTGCTTGTGTCTCAAATGCGTTGCCTGTGAAACTTGACAGTGTAATGAGAGGTGTGAAGGGCTGCAGGGCTTTTTGAATATAGTTATTTTGGCTTTGATACAGGCTGGGTTCATGTGCCTGAGTGTAACTGAATGTTGGGTTCATGAAAATCCCAAACCTCACAGCAATAAATGGAAAGTGCCATGCTTCACCCCTTTTCATATCCAAACCAAGCAAAACCATAAATTATGCATGCTATTGAAACAGGGGTCATAAATCACCCCCATATTCACTAGAAATTAGGTCTAGGCTCAGTTCAGAAGAATGCCAACCAAAAGTAAGCTAGGATGTAAAAAAGCATTTCAATCTCTTGCCAAGCTTGCAACAAAATTTCCTGACAGGTCTGACATACTGTAGGTTTTGTAGCACAATTCTGAGCAACATGAGGAAGAAAAAAACGTCTTGAGTGCAGAAGACTGCAAATAAAGCTCAGGAGATGTTTCTTAAGAGACGGATGTGCCAGGCCTTGGTGGGGTCTCCCAGAGGAAGAAGTGGAACTGAATTGCCTGGAGACAATCAAGTCTGTGCAGGTACAACGTCTGAACAACACAGCTTTTTTCTCTAGGTCACAGAGAGCAGTGAACTCAAGCCAAATTGCTGGGAACTTTGCCAAAATCTCATGACAAAGTCCTGTGTCATTGACAGGATTTCCTCCACTTACCATTCATTCGCTAAAGACAAGTCTGGCTGGAGCAAGTCGTGCAAACCTGAAACCAGATAACACATAGAGTATTCAGTTAGGTAGGAGGCAGGCAGATAGCGGCTGTGAAGGAGAAGAGAAGCAGTGAAGTTCAGAGTAGCTACCTTGTCCCTTAGGACAGTGTGGCTGTTTCTAATTAACCTACCTTCTTCCACTGAAGTGTTCCCCAGCAGAATGTACTCCCCGTGTCCCCTGGACAGCACAACACCCAGGCTGCAGGCGGGAAGGAAAACAGAGGGCTTGTCAGCAAGGAGAGGTGTAATCCCTAAGCATGACACTGCGTTCCCTGCAATTACAGCCCTTAAAGACATTAACTCCCTCCACAGATATTAAAGAAAAGAACATCATCAAAAGAGGATTAAGTGAGATCCGATTTCAGCACAAAAGGCTAAGGAACCTGTCTGTAGAGCTATGAGACATTTTTGGTGACAATTCTTTTTGGCCATCATTGTAGGTTCAGGTCAACAATAAAATTTCTCAAATCTGTGCCAATTTCAAACCATTTCAGCTGGGGAAGCAACACAAAAAATTTTTGCTTGATTTCTTATGTGATGTTTTATAATTTTCAGTTTATAACAATGTTCTGTTTTGAGCCATACACCAGAGCATAAAACATATTCAGTGGAATGGAAAATTGAAGATGTCTCATTTCCCTGATATGAAACAACAGGCTTCACCTCAGGTATAGCTTTTGGACTCTGAACTTCAGATAGATCATAACATTCGTTTTGAGTTGACCCCAAACAATATTTTAAAGGCTATAGGAACAAAGAAGTCAGTTATTCACACTGGTCTACTCATGAGTCATAGCCAATTTTATGAAGAAAAGGGACCAATTTGGTCTCCTGGTGGCAGACTTCTGATACACCATTTTGGTGTTGTGCAAGCCCTTGCTCACCTGAAGGGTGTGCCACTGATGTCCGTGAAGAAGTAATCATTGGTGAGGAAGAGAACTCGTTTCTGGAATAAGAGCATAAATGAGAAAGTGAGAGACCAAGAGCATAGTGATAATGGGGACCTGGGATATATGTCCCCAAGGTTGAGCAAAAGCAGTTGATCATTACTAATATTTCACACCCTGCTGGGGCTGGCTGGAGGCAGGGATGAATGTGCAGTATTCAGCGTATTTAGCAACTTGCGTCTTTCAGGATCCAGGCAGACACTCTGTCTTTCTATCTAGGGCGTCAGTTAAACCTTTCTTTGCTCTAGGGCTTCTGGACAGGCTGCAGGAAGGGGTGGGGGGAAGCTGCCCTCCCTCTCGCACCCTCTGAGCCAGTGCGCTGGGGCCCTGCTGCTCTTTTGCTGTACAGAGCAACCTTGATGGCTTTGCACATCATCATCATCCCAAGCAGGAGTGGGGACTCAGCAGAGCAGGTGAGAAGGAGAGGCGGGGTCGGAGGAGAGGCAGGATGGCAATCCTACCCACTGTGTGGGTGGGCAGCTGGGGCCAAGTCTCCTCACTCCTGTGGGAAAAGCTGAGATTCCTGACATTAGCTTTCATGCCAAACTGGGACAAAACATTAGCTTATTCCAATTTTGTTAAAAAACATCAGTAAAAGGAACAATTCGTATTTTCAAATTAAACAAAAGTGCTGATTCAAATCCAAGCTGTTTTGATTCACATGAAAATATTTTTTTCAGACTGACATTTCAGCTGAAGACATTTCAGATTATTGAAAGCTGCTTCAGAACTTCAGCTATTTGCCAGACTGGCCTTTTCCTGTAGGAAAGTGTTGATTTCAGTGGAACTCTTTTCCAAAGGAGAAAAGTTTTTGGAAAACTTCTATCCAACCCTTATGCCAGTATATGAACCCTAATATGTTTAAAATCCCAGCCCCAGTCTGAAAACGAGGTGAGAGGATGTGTGTGGGAGACAGGGAGTAAACACAGAAAACTCAGTGTTCCCCAGGGAAAGTTGTGCCTGCTCTAACTTGCTCAAGCCGTGCAGCAGTAAAGTAGAGCAAGGCACAAAGAGGAAACGAGCACCAGCTCCACAGTGTGCCCCAAGTTTGTGCATACAGCGGTGGGGCTGATGGAGGTTATTGTTAGGTGAGGAGGTGGCAGATGGTTCAACCCCTCCCCTCTGTCTCCATGCATGGCAATGGTGTACTGCTGAGCAACAGGGTCCGAGTTTTTTGCTGATCCAAGGTGTTCCAAAAGTGCTGTTACACCACCAAGGAACATGGCACGGTCGTGTTTTGGTGGCTGTGGGGAAGGTACAAGAGATATTAAACCTCCCTTTCCTTGCCAGTCCGATCTGATGGCAGAGGGAGGGAGGCACGGGGAAGGAGGAAACCCAGGGGTGTACGCCTGCCGCTGGGGGAAAGTATGCAATAAAAAATGGCCTGGGGTGCCTCCACTCTGAGACCCTTTCCTTCAGCAGGGCTTGTTCTGCTCATCCTTTGTTACACGGACCTGCCTCTTTTCTGCCCAGGCAACCACTCAGCACTTGCGCCTTGTGGGAGGGAAGGAGGGTAAACCTCATTTTGGGCAGAGGGTGGGGATGGCTGGCCAGCCCTCTCCAAGACAGTTGGAGGAATCAGCACTTATCCGCGGGAAGGAAGAGAAACAGAGGCACCCCTGAGTGGGGCTGAGGACGATCAAAAGCAGGACTTTGCCACGTAGCACAGAGTAAGGGAGAAGACAAGAACATGGGCGTGTTGGCACAGTGATAGGATGGCTGGCTACCAGCACCTGCCATCTTGAAACACATGTGTTTCCAGTTTTGGTATTGTCACTGTACTGGGCAGCCAGTCCTGGCTAATGCCATTATCAGTGGTTTGCCACAGCTCCTACCCATATCCTCGCTCTTTTGCTTTCACAGTCACAACCCTTTTGTACCCTATCTGCAAGCAAAGGCATTTTTGCCACTACGTCTCTTTGAGAACCGCCCCTTGTCTTTGGTCCTTATTTTTCTCTATCTCACTCTGCTCTAAATATCTTCCTGAGATCAACCTGGGAAATCAACGTTTATGTGGCTGACAGAATAATTTCTATCCTCGTCATTCCACCCTTCTCTCTGCTGTCTGGCTGCCTCATTCTCTTTGTTTCAAGGCGCTGTCAGCACTTTCTTTGTTTCAACACTTCTCTGCTTCATCATCTAGCAGAGTACAAGTGGGAATTGCTAAGTTTCACTTCTGGTCTTTGCTCCATGTGTATTCTGATAATAGTAAACTGTCATAGGCTCAGCTTCAGTCTCCTATTATGCTTCATAAAGCTTGCAGAGTTGCAGAATAAAACTGGTAATATCTCTTAGCAACGCAACTTTTTGTTACCTTTTTTCCCCGAGTAGGAGAGCAGAAAGATGTCCCTAAAATACCGAACCAAAAAGGTATCTTTGGATGACTCACAAGAAATGTTATTGAGGGTGCAGAGAGACAGAGATTAAGCTAGCAAAATAAGCAATCTGGACTTACACAGGATAGATCTTGATGGAAAACCCTGATTGCTTTTCTGACAGAATAACAAAGGTAACGTATCTGGGTTTATATAAAGCACTTGAAACAGCTTCTCATGAGATTTTATTCTAAAGAATCTGTTAAAGTGGGCTTAGATGTGGAGTGAGAACCAGCTGCAGTACTGTAAACAAAAAGAAGCAGTAAACAACGGAGCATTGATGGAAAAAGATCTAATGAGAGGAACAGACACACTCTGTTTTAGGAGCTCTTATATACAGTGATCGGTAAGACAAAATAAAATAACATTTCTCTGCATACTGAGAAAAAGTCCCAACAGTCCTAAAAAGTAGAAAGACTGGACAAAAAGGAGTGGGATTCATGTGGAAAAATGGCAACTGGAAAAAATAGCTAAGAAACACAGAAACCGAGGCCGCTGTTCCGACTCAGCTATGGGAGGGAGAAAAAATTGAATGGACAGCAGAAAGGAGATTTGGGGCTCCCTGTTCAGAAATATCCTATTGCAGAGAGTAGATGCTCTCTACAGATCAATAGGGAAACAGTACTCAAATAATTCAGTGAAACCCTGGCACTTGTGTAGCAGAAATGACACGGGAGACAAAGGGAACAAAAATAAATTATGAACTGCTTGGACTGAAAAGTGTGCAAGTATTTCAAATACAGATGTTGGCAATGCCCAAGAAAGGGAGGACAAAGCCATTGATGGGTACCTGATAGTTGCAAACACCAAGAATAGAGAAAGAGAATTTATTTACAAGATCTATCAGTACAACCATTCGGAGGAAACAGAGAGGTGTCTTCATTAGGAAATGGCATAATTTCAGCAGTGGCTGTGAGCAGTTGGTTTATTGGAATTGGTGCTGACTGTGGCTTAGCATGGGAGCAGTTCAGCCAACCTGATCGCTGAAAAAAAATGCTCTCTATAATATAAAGATGGAAAATTTTCCTGAAATATGGAAGACTTCTGGGCAGTTTAACTTGCAGGACTCTGGAATACTTCCTAACAGGAAATGATGAAAGCCAAAATCTTTCAGAGAGTTAAATAAACCTGACTGAAAAAGTACCAGTGAACGTAAATGTACAAGACAATTTTGCACTGATTCCAAGGGAAGATGTATAACCCTACATTAGAGCTAGTACAGAACATTCAAAAGTCTCCATTTCACTAGAACTTTTCAAAAAATATCTGTAAATATTTGCGTAGAAATTTAATCCTGGACCTGGATAAAGGAAATCTCATTCTGACAGAGCAAGGGACAAAGTTTTCACGGGTGTTTTTAGGTAGGGAAAGGGAATTGCAAAATAGCCTCCAAACCTCTTTCTGTCTAGGTCAGCTCAGCATAGTCTTTCCCCATTCTAAACTCTTGAAATTCCCCAATTCGTTTCACAGCCCTATAAACAGTGAACAACATGGTTTTTGGCTTTGCCTCGACAAAGTAGGGAGTTGTGAGGCATTTCCAATACCTTTGTAAGAGCAGAATATTGGTAGGTATAAAGAGCACTTCTAATTATGCTATTTTATGTCTTTAGCACATGTGTTGTATATGTGGTGAAACAATAAAATCCTCACACTCAGAAATGCTGACCATTAAAACCACATCCTTTGTGGTTCTTCTGCATCCATTTCCCATCCTCTCTCTTGTGTTACCTGAGCAGAAGGATAATTTCTTACCCCTTTATCCACAGGGACCTTCACATCCATAGAGAGGTAGCCCGTTTCCCCATTGATCATGGCAGTTCTCAGCTGCAGAGGTGAACAAGATTAGTATTAGTGTCTCCAGGCAGGGCAGGACAGGAATTAAGAGAGCCACTTGTCTTTAATGAACAGGAGCTGTCAGAAAAGAGTGACTGGCTTTTTCCTCCCCCCAAAGCTCGTTCTTGCTTCTTTTAAACTGAGAACCTGTTCTCAGTAGTCAGGATCCCCGTTCAGTCAGTCTGATAAGTGACTCAGAATAGTAATGGCTTATGCTGAAAGCTTGTTGATATGTCTTTTTAGCAAAAGGAAAGGATCTGGAAGCTATGAAGTTGACAATCCAAGTTTCAGACTTCACTGTTTGGCAGCCAGGAAGTCATTAGCGTGGTGCTTTGAGAGCCTGGAAGAGGAGATACCTGAGAAACCCACTAACTCTTCCAAACTAATTCCAAAGATCTAGGACATTTTAAAAACTCATTTATAAATTATAAGCTGTATTCGGCACCACTTCTGAGGTACAGCAAAGCAGCTGTTTAACACAACAAAGCAAGACTGTATGATAGCAGGGTAGGCAGCAAGAAGACCACTTCATTCAATCCAGGTTCCAAAGGCAAAATGTAATTTTCACAATGACTCCCAGCCTCTTCCAAGAAAGAGCCAGGGAATTTTTCCACGAGTTCAGAGGCTTTAACTTTATATCCAGCCTGCCAGAGCATATCAGCCTATTGCTTCAGTCTGAATAGAAAAAAAAAGGTGGGAAGTAACTTATTCATTCACACTTCCTTACTTCCAGAGACAGGCCTCCATTCAGGTGCTGGCCAGTCTCAACTGCATTTGCTTTACAAGGCCATGTTTATTATGGCTGTTTGATGTGGGTTATTTACAGACCTAGAATATAGAACTTGTGTTTCCCAAGGCACACATCTTGGAAATCAAAACACTGACTGGTACTATTCCTCCTTTTTGGCTAGGAGCATTTGACCTCCTGCCAGAGTCACGGCATACTCTCTGTTCTGGTCTGACAGCCTACAGCATTTTCTATGGGTTCTGGGTTTAGTTCAGATATTGTTGCTTCATCCATATCTTCTTGAATGTCAGGCATCTCTCCTTGCCCTGCAAGGCAGTGGAGAAGTAAATCAATGGATATCCGAGATCTCCTTGGATCTCCTCAGCTCCAGCTGGTCTGCACACGGGCTACTTGTCCTCTGCCCAGACACCAGGTGACATTAGCTGGAGGTTGGAGCCACAATCCTGCTTCTTCCTCAATAGCTTTTCCTACATTGAGAAGTCAATTACAGTCCTACTGTCTGTGAGCCCCCATAATGCTCAGTCCTTTTTAGACAGGACACTTCTGGCAACAGCTGTCCTCCACTTTGAAAAATGTGTTTGGATTGGGTGGGGTGGTCAGGTGCACGCTGAAGCACTTGTTCCCGACACCCCAAACAGCAAACTCTGCTGCTCCAGGGCAATGAGTCTGTGCTATCCCCATCACTGGTAAGGAATGCTGCTGAGTCCTTTTCCCTGTCCGGTTCTGTAGTTTCAAACCAATGCAGACATACAGTTTACCTGAGGGGTCTTAACAACATCTAGGTGTTTTGCTACTCAGTTTCAACATCCTTACAAGCTAATTTCTTCTTCAGTGGTTCTGTCAAGGCTCAAGAAAATGTTTGGGTGACAGCTGCTAGGTAGGGATCCCTCAACCCTTCCTTTTCCCCTTCACACTGAGAATATCCCTGTGTTGCTTTACAAGCAAGCCCAAATTTCCTTGCTGCCCAGCTGCAGATAGTACTATTGTGCATCGATTGCTATTTTCCAGACAGTGCCATCTTCTGTCCCCTAGATTTCATTTTAGCAGCTGGCTGTATTACACATCATTAGCACTTGGGCATATTTTTCCATTCTGAATTTGTTGCTTATCAGTGTTGCTGAGATTATACTGCAACTGATGTTGAGTCTGTCATTGATCTAATACCGTAGCTGCAAATTTGAGTGTTGAAATGTTGGCAGCTTTCTGCTGCAGGGAGTGTATCTTGAGAGTCTCTAGACTTGCTGAAGTCACACTGCAGCTATCATTCATGTCACTGAACGTCTCTCAGTGACTGCAACCTTTCTTTCTTCTGGAAGATGCAGTACAGGAACACAAAGTGGCTTTGTTTTTCATGCCTCTTTTGACAATTTTTCACTAGATGGTTTTAGTCTGATTGCCTACAGACAGAAACCTTACACTTTGCATCATATTTGCATTCAGGTATCAGTGTTATTTGGTCAGACAGGAATCTGCTATTCAAATAAATATGACAGCAAGGCAAAATCCTCCCATTTCCTAGATTTTTTTTTTTTTAAATAGCAGACTGAGTAAAGACGAGCAGCTCTAAAAGTGGCTCCAGTGAGAGAGAAAACTACAACGGGAGCAGAGCTCCTAGAATACCATCAACAAACCCACACTATGCCATTGGCAACCTGCATCTGGTGGTTCTACTGCATGTAAAGCCTCTAATTTTTGTCTTGCTTTCCACGTTTCGCACCCAGTCCCATTGTGTTTCCTTTCTCAATTTGCCACTCTTCCATTTCCCAAACTCCTTTGGTGTGGCCCTTTGTACTTGGCCTGCACTAGCAACAGTAGCTACTTTGATCCTCTTGCTGGGCAGTTCGGTTGTCCTAACTGTTTAAGTGGATATCTATAGCATCAGATCCGTTTATCTCAGCAGCCTCCCCTGTAATCCAGAAGCATGTGTCCCACAGCTAATTCTATCTTACTCCAAATTCGGTTCTTATCTTAGTAACTTAAGTATCTATTCTCTCCTAATTCTTCTGAGTAAAAGAAAACCAGACACAGAAGAAACTCTCTACCTTCTCATTGTATCTGGGTTCCTAGTTGTGCAACGTGGCAATGTGCAGCCGTTAAAGTGCATGCAGTTTCTTGTTTATCACTTTTTAATAATTTTTCTCAAAAGACAGTAGAAAATAGATTTTCTAATCTTTTCACTCTGGTCAGCTATTGTTTTCAGTGCCTCCACAGCTGTTCAATAAGGTGGTTTCTGGAAACTTATTTTTCTCAAGTGTCTAAGTCCCTTATCTTCTTTGTCTATTATTAATAGTGACTGCGAGCTTTAGTCTCTTTTTGAGTGCACTTTCTTCCTTGTGGCAGGTCTCATTAATTGGGTGGCTTCAACTATATCTCACATACTACATGTATGGGTAACATCATGGAACACTGCCATACTCGTAAACTATCTTGGCTTTGTATTATTAAGGCAGCATTTGGGCCATGTACACACAAACTGGCTCCCTGGAGCACCCTCCAAAGTGCTTCCTTCCTGCTGCCAGCACTTTCTTCTCCCTGTTCCGTGAGAAGGAAAACTCATACTGGAAAGGAAGACAAGCAGTTTGCAGGGGAGCATCATTCTTGTCCTCTGTAGACCACCAGCATCTCTTGGTCAGGGCCAGTCCAGCACAGAAAAAAAACCAGTAGCGCCTGCTGCTCGCCTGCCCCTTCTGTACAGGCACACAAAATTATAGAAAGAAGGAACTACAAAAAAAGGCTAAACTAACTTTCTGATACTCACTATTTCATCCTGATCTTCCCATTCCACTTCTGAGAGATCTACACTGTTGTAGTTCGGCTTAGGCTTCAGTTTCTTTCCTTCTTTATACTGGCATTTATTAAAAAAAAAAAAAAAGAAGAAGAAGGAAAAATACCCAAGTAAGTGGCTAGATAATGTCCTAAACTAACCGTTTAAGAATTGATATATAATTTGAAAAATAGGGGTGACCCATTTATTCTCTGACTGGGAAGGCAGTGCTTAGGTGCAAGTGCCTTCTCAATCCCATGCCATGTATTTCATTATGCAGGCAGTGTGGGGCTAGGACCGTTCAACTGGGAGAGGCTGTTCCAGGAGGAAGGGACAAGCACTAACACAGGTAAACTTGCAGGTAAACGCTACAGCCTCCTTTGTGAGAATGTGCTTCTAAATAGATCAGTACAATACACTTGCCTCCAGGAAATAAGTTTTTTTCCCACAGCTAAGAGTGTAATCCCGTTAACACTATAATACCAGCAGGAGATCTTTTCTGATGGAAATCAGGCTTTGGGTCCACTGACAGAAAGGTAGGCTTTTCACCTAGGGCTAACTGATGCAAGAGAGTGATTTCCATGTAATTTTCCAGTTGAAGGAAAAGGTGTGAAGCAGACTAAGGGAGGCCAGTTTCAGATGGAGGATAAAGCAGTGACCTTGCCTAGCTTTGCCTTGCCCCATCCTGGAAGCGCATGTCCCTTCTCTTCACCTAGTGAAGTAACTACCTATGCCTGTGGTCTCCCTTTGCAAAGCTGCTTTTTTGAAGACAGCTGCTGTGAAGCCCTGTAGTGGCATTTTCTCTTGCCAGTAACCACACTAACACTTATAGCTGCACACAGGTGGATTTATGCTGACAGGCATATCATTGCATGCTTGGGTATCCGAGTACTGAGGCCAGCTGTGTTTTTGCAGACAGATGTACGGTCTGGAGTTCCAGGTGGCACCATGAGGGAGAAACATTGTCCTTGTGTCCACTCCCTCAAGTCCCTGAAGGTCTGTGCAGCCTGCTGGTCTCTAAATTGTCTCTGACTTACTGTGTTACTAAGATTTGTGGTACTGGACCCTGCTAGCCTCAGCTTCCCAAAATGTCAAACACTGCAGCTGCTGGGTGGCTATTACTGGGGTACTACTCATGTTGAATATTCTTGTAGGAGATAACCCAAGTGAGGGGAATTGTTTCTTCAGCCCAACAGTGAACCTTGCATGGATGCAGATATGTGTGCACCCACAGTATACCAAGTGCATACAAATACAGACCTCACGTGTACTCTCATGGAGAACAGAGAGGCAGGGTGCCTTACACTTCATGCATGTGTGTCCATATATCTTTGTGTGTGGAATTGATTTCTCTGGCCCTCATAGTCCTGGGTGCCTATATATTGATAGCCTTCATAGCTCGGTAAAACATGAGAAATAAGGAGCAGCCCTGAAAGCCACTGTTTCTAAGTAAGCAAAGGTTTTCAAATTCAGAGCTATACATACCAAAGGACGAAGGTCTGGGTGTGAAAGGATGTAGCCGTTGTTCGTGTTCAGAAAGGCATATCCATGTACACCCAACTGGAGAAAGAGGCATTAGAATAATTATTGCTTTAGCTAGAAACGGTGCTGTGTAATGGGTGCCACTGATACCCTGGCACCACCAATATTCAGAAATATTTTCCTTTTAAAGGTATCAACCAGCAGAAAATAGTGTCCATCCGAAACCATTTATCTCCGGATCTCTGTCTGCTCTGTCCAAGCAGGCTGACTATGCTTGGATGCACAAAAGGACGGGCAGGTAGTTGATTTGTGTACACATTCAGAAAAAGATGCCCTCCTAGAGTCTGATTGTCCTCGTGGATAATTACCACCCAGAGGCAGAATAGCTCTCCACAGCAGGCACAGGAGTGCTGTGAATAAAATGGGCAGCAATGGGAAATGTTGTAAACAGTACAGAAACAGTGGTGACAGGTCGGTATGGCCGTCACTACATGTGCACAGCAGTGAATGAACAAGTGGGTATGAATCTCACAGATGGCTTCCCTGGAAACCCGGTTGGTCTTCAGAGAAGCTCTGCATTATGTTTCAGTATTGGCAAGACCAGACCTAGCCTAGGCCAGTTGTACAACCCTGTCTTCTTAAAATGCTTTTTGAGGAATAGCATAATCTAACAAGAACAGACACTGGCTGACCTGATCTGCAAGAGATTTCCAAGAAAGGAATTACTCAGATCAAGCTCATATATAATACAAATTCCAGCTAAACCCTGAGTTCCTAAAAACCTGCTAATAGCCTGCACTTGACAAACAAGAAGTGTCTCAAGGAAATCAAGACTAGCTAAGGTTTCTATCTTAAAAAAAAAAAATGTTGCAACTTTATATTTCTATAGAGACAATCCTGGAGGGATAACAGTAGGGAAGTGGGGAGGTAAGTCATTTAAAATCCATTGTGCATTTTTGGAGAGGATGAATTCTGTATTTCACACATCCCAGATCAAAACTTTGGACTCTCTCTATATGAAACAGTTTTTTGCAAAGCACACTGAGCTCAGCTCAGCGTGGCAAGGATGAAACCAAGACATTGCATGAGGACTACAGCAAACTTCCTTGCTGACCTATTAAAGCTGAAATTTCCCAAACATAAATGTGTAAGCTCTCAAGGGCTGTAACTCTGGAACTGGTCCTTTGTAACCCATATGCCAGGGGATGCAAGTTGAGGATCCTAGGTTTCTAAACTGGCCTGGAGTTGGCAGAGCTTCTGGGAAGTTGTGTCCTGCCTCTGATGTAAAGAAATCCTTCAAATAATTTACCCTCCTTCCCTGGCACTGTTTGGAGGAAAGAACGATGTCCATCCTTGTCCCAGAAGAAAGATTATTGTGACACATGGCCTTTGAATGACATGGAAGGAGGAAGATGAAAAGGTCTTATAGGGAATACAAATGTGTATAAAAATTGAAGCTTCTAGACAAGGTTCCACCAGATGCAAACCAGCTAGCTTTTGCATGGTGAGTGCATGCACCCCAACTCAGTTCCTGGGGTGCTTGAAGGATAGTTTTCCTACAGCTGCATATGTGAATGGTTCTGCCCTGCATCCATGTCTGGAAGTGTCACACAAATCCTTTAGCTTCTGACAGCACTTAGTCCTGTGAGTCTTCAGCAACCAGATTTTGAACAGCTACCTAACTGAGAGTGGTTGAGAGTTATTTAAGAGAAAGTGAAAACTTGAAAGGATGGCTCAAATTGCCGGATTTCATGGTGATCCTCAGATGTGCTTGCTGTCTTCTGGTGCACAAACCTATCGAACAAAAGGTCACTGCACAGAATTTACAGCAGAAACCAAATGAAACAGTGCATCTCTGGGGGGGTTTCCTATGGATGAACATATTTCTATAGATGTATTGAATATAAGACTAACAGAAAGTTGTTGGACTAACAATTCTGGAGAGCAAACATCTAGGTACAGCATAAGCAAGTGAGAGACAACTTCCCGTACACTGTCCTGCCAAGAAATCTTCATGCTGATCTGGAGAAAGGAACCTTTAAGCACGACAGAAAATTTGGCTCTCTGTAGTTCGTTCAGTCCTCAGTTTTTCTACTAAGAATATTGACAGAGAAACTAGTTTATTTTTTGCCAACTGTCTTGGAAGCTTTTGTTCACTGGGAACTGGATATAAAACTTTAATTCTTCTGAGATAGGCTGTCAGACCCGTATCATCTCTGAGGGATCTAGGCTGGTGACCATCAAGATGCAAAGGCTCTGTGACCTGTTGCCAATATACTGGATCATCCAGGCCTTGTGCTTCTGAAGCAGCCTAGGAGCTTCTAGTAGTGAATGATTTCCCATGTGCTATATAGAAACCACACATTGCCACATCCAACCTCTCTTACTTTAAGCTCAAAGTTCTTCCTACAGGCAGAGGAATGATTCTTCAGTCATGCCCATGGAAGAATGACTAGTGACTTTGCTATGCAAAATAACAAATCGCATTATCTCGGTCTTACCTTATACCGTGGAGCAAGTTTTAACAACTCCCTCAGTGGTACATCAGAGCCCACCACACCCAGGAGAATGCCGTGAGATCGCTTAAAAACAAAGGAGAATCCATTTTCAGAAGCAAAACATGGGTAGTTTTTTACCTGAATACACATTATTGCCTTCCTACTAGTCTCTCACATATCTTCTCTAGGCTTGTGTGAATATGTTCATTCAAAACCAACTAACATACCTCAAAAAGTCTAAAGAGGTTGCTCTAGCATTTATGGAGAGGAGTATTTCTACCCAATACTAGTCAGCATTTTTTACTATGATTCAGAAGTAACATAAAATCACTGAAAACAAGTTTTGAGGGCAAAAACCTGCATTCAGTGTGTGCAAATAACAATAAGGACAATGCAATCATGCAAAACAACATGGATTGGTTGATAACTTGGGTCAACTAAACCAAACACCAAATAGAAAATTGTTAACCTAGGAAAAACGAATGGAGGAAATCCCCACAAAATGGGGAACTGGTTGTTTAATAAGCACCTGGGGATCATGATGGAAAAATGACACACAAGCTTCCACTGCAGCTCTGTGTTGATACAGGTGAAGGCCAGCCTCAGGTGGAGAAGGCAGGCAATTGTTTGTAGGACCCAGATGAAGAGTATATCTCTTGTACGGCAATGGTACGTTACTGTCCACCAGTTCAAAAGGATGTTGAATAACTAGAAATGGTCTGGAGAAGTGTGTCTAAAGGGTTTCAAAACCCAAAGGAAATGCCCTTATCAAAGACACCTAAATTGTTCAACATTTTTATCGCATCAAAAGATAGACAGGTTTGACTTTATTGCAGTGTAGGAGATGCTTCCCAGGAGAAGATACCAAAGGGTACAGGCTTTTTAACCTAGCAGAGAAAGCCATTGTGACAGGAACGTGAGGCTAGACAAACTGAAAGTGGAATTTAGACACTAGTTTTTAACAGGGAGTGAGAAACCACAATGGAGAACTCAGAGCTGGATGCCTTTCTTTCTTCAATGATGCTTTTGCCAAACAGGTTATTTGGCTCATGAAGGGCTGTCTATATGAAAAGTAAAAATCTGCAATAAAATGCACAGACTAGACAAGGTAATGAACTCTTCCTGCCTGAAACTTTATGGGTCTGTGAATTAGTCTCAGCTTGAAAATGGAAGGGATAAAACAGGGAGAAGTATCATATTTAAGGGGTATTTGGAAGAAATAGCATTCAGAAGAAATGACAGACTATCCTTTTGTCAGGTAAGTTATCAGCCGCCCATACTGCCAGCGGTCTACCGCAGTCCCTAATGGCCGGCTGTTCTTTCAGAGACCCATTGGCTTCAAAACCCTGCAAAGGTCCGCTGCATCCTTTCACCTCTGCTGGTTTGAAGGAGACCGAAGCCTGTGTTGCACTCACCGTCTCATTCTTTTTGCTGAAGACTGGCATAGCCACTGTTGTCATGAGCAACAGACTTTGAGCCTGAGATGCAAAGAGCTGTCACAGAACAACGAGCCGTGTGTTAGCAAATGCAATATCACAGATAACCCGTATGAAAGGCACTGGAATTCCCAAGGATCCCAGATGTTGATTACAATTAGCCACCTCCTTGCCTCCCACACCCCTCTAAAAACAGATGGTAGAACTTTTCAATACGCTGTATCCAAGAGGATCGTGGGATGGATGGCTGCTTGTGTGGGGTGATGAGGATGGGATGAAAGCCAGTGAAATGTGTTGAAGCAGGAGACATTAAAGAGCTGTTTTAGTGAAGAAATAGAAAACTGTAGAAGTGGTGGCATAATTTATACCCACCATGCATTGGGAGTGTAGACATGAAGACTTATGCAACAAGTATAAAAACCACCAACACAAGGAGCACAGAACAGAGAAAAGCAACACAAACAAGATATCATCTATTTTGCAAACACATGAATACCACAAATGAGAAACACCACAGGCAAATATTTAAAAGGCACACATACACACAGAGCCTGCTTATATATACTTGTTACTCAAGCATCTAAGCTTAGGAAAAACAGAGACAAAATCATAATCCAAACAGATACAACATGGCGAGCTAGCTCTAGAGGGGACACAGGACATGCACGTGTAATAGGATAAGAAAAGCTCCCAATACTGCAGAAGACAGATGCTCTAAAAATGCACACAAAAGGAGGTAAGACAGGCAAGACACATGCAAAGGAGTCTGCCAAACACGCCTAGCTATAAAAAAGACCCAATCCCTTGATGCCAGTAGCATCTCCATTCCATCTCTCAAGTAGCAAGGCAAGAAATAACCTCCTGTCTCCATTACTGTACACACTAGGAGCCAGTCAATAATCTCTGTGTTGCTTGATGGAGATTTGAGCCTGCTGTCTTGAGTTACTTGTCTGGATGATTCTTTGTAGAAAATTCCCATTCACAGGAAGACTCGCACTAACACACACCAAGTAAACTTCCCCAGCACTCACTGGATGCGTAGAAAAAGAGAACCAGTGAAACTAGGCTACTGCACAACATGGACACCCCTACCTACTCTGAACCAACAGCACAGCACAGCTTTCCAGTACATCCAGCGTTTCCTTTCCTCTTCTTGCCAATGTAAGAGGGCTCCTTCAGTGCTGCAGCCCCCACCCCCCTCCAGATGTACAGGCCAGCTGTGGCTGTGAGCGCTGTCACTGACACACCAACTTGCACAAGGGAAACAGCACACTCACAAAACACAGGGGTGCGGTTACCTCCTCAGACTGTGGCAGCTATTGAGAGACACGGATGAACAAATGAATGAGTACATGAATGGAGGAATGAATCAAAGATGGGAGAGGTTGGGGCAGAGGAAGTGAATGGCAAGCCAAGCCATGAAAAGAGATGCAGAAAAAATGTGCAGCAAACACATCCCTGTGGCTGCCTTGGGAAGTGTGACACCATACACCAGGGCCAGGGGTGGCATGCCTGCTCTTAGAATAAACTTGCTGGGTAGCTGGTAGCACTTCTGGAGGTTTTGCTTAACACATTCAAGTACCGTGTCCCCAGTTCTCACTTGGCACACCTCCTGCAGCAGAAGACATCCCCATGTCACCCTTGCAGAGCTCATGTGCCACAACTGCAGCCTCAGTGGTCAGCCACAGCACAGAGGTGACAGACTCTTCCCATGAGAGTATAACACCTATGCACCATGATGGTGCAAGCCTGGCTGCCTTGGAGGTGTTTCTTGGGGTTTGTGTAGTCTTGACCTTCAGCACAGCATTGAGTACAACCATGTGTGACCTGGACTTCCATGTTTCCTGCTACAAAGCTAAGCTCAGTACCCCTAGTTTTACTCCAACTCAGAGAATTCAGGTTTCTTGCTGTGGATCTTATACCTGAAAACTGTGGGTTCTCCCCAGGGCTGTGGCAGACACCCTAATGCTACCGCTGGCCAAACCTGGGCAGATAACTTCAGTCCCACAGTGGGATTATGTGTGGAAACATTCTCAATGTTTCTAAAAGATTTTTTCCCTCAGATAGGATAAACAGTCCTGAGATGTCAGGATCATTTCTGGAAGAGGGGAATCTGATTTCTGGTCAGCTCTAACTGTGACACTTTCTGGGGTAGAGTCCAGTGTAGGAAAAAAACTATATCTCCCTGAAAGCACAGAGAGCCCCAAAAGAACAGTAGCTTTCTCTTCCTGCAATGTAGAAAGAGATGGAGACAAAGACCGAGGAACTTCTGTTTGGGGAAGTGCAGAGGAAGGGTCCTTCAGTGGCAGTCTACTCCTTTGTCCTTCCCTTCACTCCTCTGAATTTCAAAGCTGCCTTGGCAACACAACACTGCAATAGCACCTGCTTGTGCTACAAATGTCTTCAGCCTTCCTGCAGGGCTGGCCTGAGACTAAGCAAAGGGGCACTGGGAGTGCTGACTGTCTGGTCCTTTGGTGATGTGTCCTTTATCCACAGGGCTGAGCACAGGGCCGCTGCAGTGACATTAAGTCTTGCTGGCCCAAGGAACAGAAGAGTGACTCTGCTTCCCAAACTGAGATCTGTATCCTTGAGTGGCAAGCAGTATGCAGTTAGCTACTGGGCTGGAGGAAATAAATCTCTGTGACCCGTATCCTAAACTGTAAATAATCTTTCCTGTGAATAATCCTTTAGAAGGTAACCTGCTTTCACAGAAGCACTACTTAAGTCATGCTGTGCCTGTGTGATTAGTCCTGGGCTCCTGGGTCACTGCAGATTCAGACCTGAGACTGCAGACATCTCAACTCCAGGAGTGAGCAGAAAAGAAATATTGTCTGTCTCAGCAGAGCCAGACACCAGTAATTTCTATCAATCAACTAACTCCTGGTTTTACATAAGTTTCAGGACTTTATTTAGAATCTGATACACCTAAGATATTTAGATGGGAAGCTGGGACAAGTTCTATGCCTAACATGCTAGCTAAATGTCTAACACCTTTGCCAGTTTGACCCATAAGCCCTGCTGTTTGCTGACTAAAGCCTTGTGCTGTAGATCCTTACCGCACTGTCCATGTAGGCTTCAGTCCAAATAATGTCATGGTCGTGGTTGATGACCATGGGGCGGCTGAGCACATGCAGGTACTCCATCACATTCTCCTGGACATCCGCCAGTGTGGAGATCTGAGTGTAGTAGCCTTCATGGAGAAACAAGAATGTGAGTCACTCTGTTAACATGTTTCTGTATTTTTAAAAGAGTGTCCGTGTAAAGCTAGAAAACTACATGACAAACTCTGTATCTCACGGGGAGTTTATCTGCTCTTTACAAAAAAGTGCCTTGACATGCCTTGCATCCACAAGCTTCTGTGGATACACATTTCTGTGGAAATCTAGAGTTTTAGAGCACTGGCTCTGTTCTTCTCAAAACAGTGGACCAATGCTCAAGTCCGGAGTCTTGATATAACCAGAATCGTGCCAAGCAGATAGCCTTTGGGTCTTAGGCAAGATCATCCACTAATCAGGCTGCCTTTGGTCCTGAAGACCAAACACACACAAACAATGTGTGCTACCAGGCTACCCACTTACCCTCCCCAATTTTATATTAAACTCAAACTCCCAGCTTCTCTTCCAGATATTTTTCCAGCACTCTACTCTTCAGTCTGCCCAGCTTTACATCCAATGATCATGACTACTTTCATCTGCCCATTAGAAGCAGAACCTAAAAGTGCAAGTTACCTATTTTCAGAGCTTTCCCCTGCAGATAGACCCATAACACTACAACAAGCAGTAAAGGGGAAGAATGTCTCAAGTTATCAAAAGGTCCTCAAAACTAGCTCCTGTCCTGCTTCTCACCAGATGGAACTGATTGGTTGTACTTGCTATAGGACAGAGTATCTCAGAGAAGATGGAAACTTTTGCTACCACTAGGAAAACACTACCATGTGAAAGGGCTCATGATCTGATAAGCTTTGTGATGTGGAAACAGATTCAGTGTGCTTGAAAACAAGGACTAAAAGAGCTATAAAATGTGTTGAAACAGAAGAACCAAAATCAGTGAGCCTTCTTCAGAGCTCATCTGGCAAGTGAGAATTCAAGTGCAAATAGCATATTCTTGTTCTCTTTGGTTATTCAGGAGAATCCATTCTCACATTTTATGGTGAACCAACAGCACCATGAATTCCCTGTCACTAATCTTATAGGTGAATATGCAATTGGAAATCCAGGTTTTTGTTTCATTTAACAAAACCTAAAAATGTTATGTGTGATTCATAGTGCTACTAGACAAATGTTTGAGCCTTGAACATCCCCAGCTCACATTCTGCAGGCCAGCAGCTCTTGTCTGTCAATTATTTTCAGTGGCAAACGCACCCATGCATTCCGTTATCTCCTGGAGCCGGTGCTCAGACAGGAAAAATAGACAATATACCTAGCTAGTCACCCCCCAGCTTCAGTTGTCCACTCCTTTCCCTGTTTAAGAAGGATGCTGATGTAGCAGGCATTGCTGGCTTTCTCCAGACACACTGAGGCCAAGTGATGCCCAAATATTTTTTCCTCTCTTCCTTTCTCCTTGCAGACTCCGATAGGGCTAACTGGACTTTTTAAGTGGTCCCAAATGCAGAGAGGTGACTCACTTACTCTGAATGGATTTTCCCATTCATGTCATTTCATGCCAGATAGAGAGAATATTGGTTTTAGGGTGGGATTAACAAGCTATTCTGGTACCTCAGTGAAACCACTGGCACACGAAGAATTTGGCCAGGATAGAGGGGTTAACCTGCAGACCTTGTGGAAAATGCTGTAAAATCTTTAAAGAAGAGATGTTTGTTTTACATCTCAGCCAAAAGATGTCAGGCTTTCTGACAGAGATTTAGACAGATTGTCAAAAGCCAGCAACTGGGACACAATAAGCACAGGGATTTAGGTGGACTACAGCCAGCATGAATCTTGGTCATAGTGTCCCTTGGCACTGTGACAGGAAAATGTGGTGGCTCAGCACTGAGGACTTGTGTTAGTTGGACACAGGCACAATTCATGAGGACTAGCAGGGTCTGCTTTTTCCTTAGGTTGTCTTCCAGCTGTGGGCTCATGGGTCCCAGCTATAGCAGGGAAGCCTTAGACGGGTCCAGGGCCCTGTGGCTGCAGCCCACGTGTGATGGGGGGGTGGGGAACCGTTCCCATATAGCACCTTTGTTGTTGCAGGCGATCCATTTCACATTGGGGGCAAAAGTGACCTCCCGTCCAATGAGGTAAGTGAAAACCCGGACCTGGGAACAAAGACACAAAGACAGAAGAATTAGGCTGCAATATGCTACCAAATCCAAATGGCCGAGGTTTGGCATCCTGCTATACACTGGTGTGAATGCCTGTTTGTGGCACAGAGCAATAGATCTGCCTTCACACAGAGACCGGAGCCTCTTGCTCCATTTGTTTCGCAGTTTGTGGGCTGGAACTTCATTTCCAATTACAATAATCCCGGAAAGCCAAGTAGCACCTGGGATCATCTGAATAACAAGACAGAAGTGCAAATTCTATTTGATTTTATGATAGATGCTCTGCCAGGCACTCAGCAACCACATGCAGAGAGGTTTATAGATTCCAGGAATCCTTTACCCAGGGGAACAGCTGGCCATATGAATAATTTAGAGAAAGCTTGACCATTTCTCTTGTGTTTGACCAACAACAAAAGAGCCAATGCTGAAATAAACTGCTTTAACGGCCTTATGGCTCTGGTCTCTCGGTAGGTTGCTTCTCTCCCTTTGTGCATTGCTGCTAGCTGGGATGGGATAAACAAATAAATCAGGAGGGTTTAGGATGAGCCGTGGTCTATTCCACTTTCACAGTCTGCTTTGCTAGTACAAGCTTGTAGTCACAGACCTCAAAGTAAACAGGGCTGTAAGGCACCCAAAGAGGTTGTCTGGGCCATTCTCCTGCCCACCAGAAGAACTGGTAATAGCCAAACCTTTCCCAAACAGGACCAATTATAAACAGTCCTGCACAGAATTAAAATAATTTGCAAAAGTGTTTGGTTTTTTAAACTTTATTTTAAAATGCACAGCTCAGTCTTTATCATCGTATCAGGAGAACGTTTTGATTGCCCAGGCCTTTAGAAAATTAAATGTGTGAAAAAAAAAGTCTTCACTGACCTACAGATATCCATTTGTGATCCTACTGTCTCTGAAATCACTGCAGCAGGCTCCTGCCTGGCTGCTTTGTTTTGTGTTTATAGCTGGATGCATGCGGGTGTTGGAGGATGTGAATGCACAGCTCTGCCCGACATCCTGGCTCATGCTCTCCTATTTCCACCATAGCAGGATAGCACCTTTCCTTGCCCTTTCTATTTATCACTTCCCAGACAAACCTTCCGATCTGGCCAGTTGTATTTTTCAAACACAGCTTCATAATCCTCCACTGCTCCATCTGTGATCAGCATGATAGCTTGGTTACACAAGCCTCCTTGACCAGCCTCTCTGAACTACAAACAGAGAGAGAAAAAGCATTAGTTATCTCAGCACAGGCCATTTCTGTGCAATTGCAGCATATTTATTCATGATGGGCCAGATCCTGACTTCCTCTCACAAATCTCACACTGTGCTCAGAAAGAGCTCTGCTTAAATAAGGACTCTGTTTGTATGCTGCATATAATTTTTTTACTTATACAGCCCTTCATAGCACATGTGGACACAGGAGGCTTTACAGAAATAAAATAATAAGGAGAAAATAAGTGCTGCGGAGGAAGGGTGCGATTTCCTGCTGCCTCACATCTTGCACAGCGCATTCGTTTATGCAAAATGACTATAGACTGACCATAAACACTACAGTTCTGATTTGACAGCAATAACTGTCACTTTTTATGGCAGAAAATGTGAGAGGAGGGGGAAATCAGACTCATTATTTCAGGGCAAATCCATCAATCTGACAAAAACTGGCAGAGAAAGGCATGAGTGCGTGAAAAAAGAAGGCTACTGCCATCAGGGCAGAAACAGGTTATGAATGTGCCAGATAGGCCGTACACTGTAGTGACAGAGGACCTGTTATCTGTGAGTAAGTGGTATTTAAGGTAGAGTGGAAGTATGCTGTGACTGTGGTGCAAATGTGCATGTGCTCCCAAGGACAGAGGGAGAGGTGTTGAACAGGCGTGCTCTTACAGGTAAGTCAGACCCTTCCTGTTCAGGCAGGAAGACCAGCCTTCAAGCACTGGTTATCTAGTGCTCCTGCGTGTGGAGCCGTTCACCTCTCATGCCCACAGGTACACCGGCTCTAGAGAGCTAAGTGCGTTACGCAGCACCAACACAGGTGTTGAATTAGCAGTCACCAGAGGAGGTAGCAGGGGTCATCAAGGCACAAAAATGAGCAGCTGCTTTGCTGCAGCTTCTAGCTCGGTGTCAGTAGGCTCTTCTTCTTGCACAGCATCTCACTGCTTCTATGCTCTGAGCAAGGAAAAGTCTAATCAACAAAGGAGGATACAGAAACTGATGCAAAGTAAAAAAATATGGAAAGAGGAAGATATGACAACTCTGCACAAGAGATTAATGAGAGGCAATGACATGAGATGGAGGGTATATGGGAGACTAATTGAAGGTGACTAGGGTTATATCAAACAGAGGAGCAATTTTAAACTGGAGAGGGTGGTTACATCTTATAAATGAGGAAAGAGGTATATAAGTGGCAAGACTAATTGCGTAAAATAAAAGCAAGCACTGGATGGGAGAATAAGAGTACAGGGCATGAACTGGGACTTTTTAGATGTTTTAGCGTTTGATTCACAAGTCCCTTCTGGTTTGGTAATGCTATGTTAGGACAGAAGGCAAACGTCTTTACCAACACGGATGGTACTTGTGGTTCTGCTGCAGATCAGCATCATGAACATCAATACCTGGAAGCCAACTCCAAGCCCAGATTTCCCCAGTCATTTCACCACTCCTACCATTACCTCTGTGATTGTTCCTTATTATGAAAGTACCAGGTTCAGTGCTAATGTCACCATAATGTCTCCTTCCACCACCATTTATGTTCTCAGTCTGCCTCCTTCAACATTACTCTGAACATCACTGAAGTACCTGTTAATCTACTGCAGTAAGCGTGGATTCAACAGGTTCTGAATTACCACACTTATGAACCCATCTCTCCCTGTTTCATTGTAATCCCGTTACTTGTATCACTGACTAGAATCAGTAGAGACTATCTTGAGAGAGAAGGGTGGAGTAATAGGGTCATTTCTAAGTAGCTGTTATCAGGCAAAAAAAAAATAGTGTACTGAATCAGGATGAGGTGTCTGGGTGTGCACCTCCTCTTTCAGAGGGGAGACAGACTGTACCTCTGCTGCTGCGGTCATGCCAACCCAGCAGTGGGGATCTCTCATGTCTTTTCTCTACAGAGTCCCAAAGGTCTGACCTTACCAATGGTCTGAAAAAATTCTACACCTTCTACCACAGAAAAAAAAATCAGTGCCAGCTACAGGGTAATTGGAGCTCCAGGAAGGGTCAGAGCACATGTGCCCCCGGCTCAGCAAAGAGCCTCAGGGCAAAGGCTGAGGGTGCACAACAGGAACAAGCACAGGATGCTCTTAGTGCAAACAAAAGGGGAAAAGCAGTTGACAGCCACATGGGATTCTGCTGCAGACCATCAGATAGGAAAGAGACAAGGAATCTCAAGTAAACTACTCTTAGGACAGAGATCAACTGTGTGGAGAGACAACTGTGTTATCAGAGACAACAGCTAGTGTGAGCATCCATCAGGGAGGCATAGGGTTACGATGGTGTGGGAGATGCTGTCAGAATGAGCTTCAGATCACAGATAAGCGAACCTTGTAGTTATGAAAGCAGCTTATTCCAGACTGTAGCAACCTACAACATGTTTTGTTTAGATGATTATTAAATTAACACTTAATTAAGGTCACCCACCATTTCATCAAACTATTTAAGACATTTTTTCATGTAGCTTACTTCAGATCTCGTAATGCCGAGATACTGAGAAATTAGATGCTGTATTAGAACTAACACTCTCTTAATTACAGGAGTATATGATATTTTCAACAAGGAAAATGAGATCATCAGTGTCATAGAAATAGAGATTAAAAAGACAGATTTAGAAAACAAATGAACAGAGGTAATCCCTTATTTTTAGGTCCTTTTGTGGCTGGCTGCAGCTGTAGCAAATGATCTGACTGCGTTCACATCAAGCTCTGAGCATAATTCCCTGCTCTGACTGAAGTCTCAGGAGCATGAAAGAAGGGGAGATGAGGAACAAGATGTCCACAGAACAGATGTCTGAAGAGATGAGAGCTAGAGCTGCAATCGGTGAATGAGGCATGGAGCTACATATTCTCCTGTATAACTTTGGTCACGCAGACAGGAGTAATAGACATGATCTAATTAAATCAGGGTCATTGTCTCTTGTACTCCCTTGTTTGCTCATTGCCATTAACTTTGCAGTTATAGCCTGGCACAGTGTTACTAGTGAAGCAATAGGAACATCAGCATAGCTCAGTGATGTACAGGCACATGTGCTGATTACATACACACCTGGCCAGATGACTGAGCAGCCCCTCTCCATCTCCTCCTGCCCCATTCTTGTGCGGACCTGCCTCCAGAGCGGCCTCCAGAATTACTGAAAATTCAGACTTAGTGGAAAGTATCTCATGGGTAGAAAAATTATCAGTAGAGAAGGAAACAGAAAGCCAGTGAAGAAACAAGAGATGGCATTAAACAAAATGACATAAACTGGTAAGAAGGAAATCCTGAGCTTTGCGTATCCTGAAAAATGTTCTGCAGAATCCAGGTCCATAAAAACGCAAGTGAAATCAAGAAAAGATTTATAAATGTTCAGAGAAGAAGAAAGGGAGTAAAAGAGAGTATGTTGCCAGATGATAAAAAACTGAGAGAAATGGTCAGGCAGAAATGCTTTATAGCCTCCATACTTCATCATCAAAACGATGATATTGTAATGGCTGGGTACATACTGAAGTGGTAAGAAACAAAGAAAAGAATGAACAGATTACAAGCAAGGTCACAAAGTGATAGGGTTAAAGAAAAAGTTAATTGAAAGCATTTGCATAATACGTACTCAGAGGAAGGAATTGTAGGAGGTGTTGCTGGACTACTTGCCTCATGGGCTGAGACCTGACTGGGACTGTATGAGATCCCAAGAGATTAAGAGGGAATCAGTGGAAAATGCAAATGTTACAAGCAGGGAAGAAACTAGGTAAACTGTCTTTAAATGTCTATGTTATGGTTTTGAACCGTGGCTAGCAGCAAAGCACCACAACAACCACTTGCTCACACACATTGCTAGAAGAAATAGTAACACAGTCCTCTTGTGAGTGCGCAAATGAGATGCTTCCCCACAGAGGTGGGGCATAAGGGGCCAAAACCTCCTTTGATTACTCACATCAGCAGAGAAGTTCATTCTTTTTACAACACTAGTTTGCTCAAGCTACACAGAATTTTACATCTCACTGAAATCTAGTTTGTTACCAGTGCAATCATTTTTTCACCTATAGCCATTTTTAGAGTGACCTAGTCATAATTAGCCTCAAAATTTATGTCACTTCCAAGTTGAGCAGTGAGTCAAGGTACCATTAAAACAGCTTGGTGTTAAGAGAAGGCATCATTCCAAGATGGCCTCGGAAAGCAGAACCTGAGGTTTCTTTTCCTCCATAGGGTCAAAAAATATCAGCTTTCAAAATAGTCTGAGTGGATCCTGAGAAAGGAGGACCCATGGGTCACAGATTTTGTACTATCTAATCCTAAAAGATTCATATCTAACAAATGTATGACTATATAGATATGACTTTCTTAGGATTAAGGGGTATGCATTTGCATATGTATATATGTACATGCATATATTTGGCATGTCTATAAAAATCTATAAATACTTTTACAATTGATGCACATTGGAAAGGATAGTCAAAGGCTCAAATACTGAACAGGAGGCTGAATACTAGCTGGAGAGGAATACCACAAAGGCAGATCAACTGGATAGGAATTAACAATGTGACAGTGTCTGAAGAAAGGGAGCTGTTGTCTTAGGTTGTGTTAAGAGGACTGTGGTGTGTAAAACAAGGAAGGTAATTATTCTGCTCTGCTTAGCACTTGATAGCTCTCAGCTGCAGCACTTACATACTGTTGGGAGGATGGGGTTTCAGGGAAGACAGGCAGCTTGGAAGCAGCCGTGAGCAGAGCAGCAGCCAGAACAGAGGGGTATAATTCCTACAGGAAAAGGTTGAGAGGACAAGGCGTGCCAAGCTTGTTGAAACAAAGATAGCACTGACATAGACTAAAACTTGATAAATAAGAAAGGAGCTCAAAAGGTAGTACTTGACACCTGAGAATTTTGAAGCACTTTATAAATGTATGCTTAAGACCATGGTTTCCCTGGGATGCATATTTTATTGAAACCACTTGGTGTGTGGCTAAATTGAAACAGAGAGTTTAAGTGGTTTATTGAGCATGGCGGAGAGTGGCAGGGGAGGCTCTGGCTAACTGATCTCCTGAAGCTGTTCTGCAAATTGCATCACAGATTAAAATATGCCCTGTCTACCCCAGAACATAATGGAGGAAAACAAAGACGGTGAGAGATTGTGCTCTTCTTCAAATGCTCTCTGCTACTTATACCTCATTGAGTAGGTCTCTACTGGGCTATTAATTCTATGAGCAATTGGACTGAGGAAAATTACCAGGGAAATTTTGCAGTCACTTTCATTACAGATATTATTACTGGTTGTCTATTGTAATCAGCAAAGCCTGTTTCATCAGTGTGATGTAGCAATTTTCATTTTCATTCTCTTACGTGTGCTCCTGTGAACAATAACAGGACAGTCTGTGAGGAACGGCTATGATTACAAGCTGAGAATGTGAATTTTGTCTGATGGGAAGTGGGTGGCCAATTCTACCAAAGTTCCCCCTTGTCTAGCCTGCATGACTGCGGCAGCACAGGTTTGTTTCAGGGCATACTGACTGAAACACTTTTCCTCTCCTAGTGCTGATATAGATCTAAGAAGCTCTAAGAGAAGATTTCAGAGAGTTCTTAAAGCATAGGAGCACTTGGCAGGTGGTACCCTTTTTTGAATGACACACTGCGAGAAAGCTGTGACCAGTGTTTCTGTGAAAGGAAAGCTGGATGGAAGAGCTATATAGCCCTGTTTCACACCTTTCTTTGACAACAAAGTTACTGTTTCTGAACTCCTGTTTCATGGACAGCAGTTTCCAAGATGCAAAGAAGTGTGACACCAGCAGTCACTGAGACAACAGACACCTTTCCTCATCTGCAGATGCTCAAAGGAAGATGTTCAAATGCCTGAGCCAGTTGCCTTCTCCCTGCATCTGAAGTGATAACAAAATGCGTGAGGGAAGCAGCACCTCACCTTGTGAGTGAATAACATCAAAAGGTTTTATCACCACTGGGTGCTGTACTGTCTAAGAGCAATCTCAGAGCTGTTTTAAGCTCATTAGCCAAGCGAGAATCAACAAGGATCAAGATAAGTAATAACTACTTAAACTGCTGACTGCATTTTTGATGCCAAATAGAGAGGAAAAATATTTTCTCTACCTGCCTCTGTTCTCTATTACTGAAGTGGAGTTATGTTAGTCCACTGGGCTGCATGGACATTACTCTCTCTGGAGGTATTTTTGGTCCAGCTGTGTCAGTGGAGGACAGTTTTTTCTGTCTCAGCTGTTCCACAATGTACCTTCTATTTCCCATGGGCATACCTGGCTCAAAATATGCAGGGTTTTATAAAGATTCTGCCTCCTGGAGGCTTGAGGATTGACTAGTCTGTTGAGTGAGCCATGCCTGCCAGAAAGGAGGTGCGAGGTCTCCTTATTAGTGGAACCAGACCAGTTTTGGTGTCTGTGCCTGGCATGGCTGGCTGCTATTTCAGCTGGGGCAAGCAGGCTTTCATTAGGGTTACGCTCAATTATTCTCCACTGAGACTTTCAAAGCTGTGCTGGTTGAGAGAGTCTGCAGTTGTACTGCATTGGGCTTCTTTAATATGTTGTCACTGTATGTAACCAGTGCCACATTACATATTAAGAAACCATTTTTCCTCTGGTGGAAAAGTTGTTTAAATATTCTGATTCATACAACACAGGCCTATATAGGCTGTGGATCTTTGGTTTTAAAGATAAAGTTAATTTTGTCATAAAGTACAAGGATACATGTAGATAAATCTGGCAGGCATGCATTATATCATTACTACTTCCCTGGTCATCTCAGTAAATATCTTCCTCCAAAGATACTGAACCATTACTACTAGGAGTGCTGCCAGCCTATTACTGCAATGCCAAGGCTACACCACACTCTTCTCAGGATGCCGTTTAAACCGTTACGTTTCTATCATTGCTGACAAGTCAGCTCAGCTTCCACCATCCCTGGGTTCAACTCTGATCGTGCCTGCACTGACATAAATCAGGAACAGCATCACCACAGACAACAAACTTAAACTTTCAGTTTGTAAAATAAATAAGAGTGAAGAATCCTTCCCAGGGTGACAGGACCTCTAGCACACTACCTTTAACATCAATGTCATCATTATGGCCACTAGCATCATACCATGTACGTATTTTTGTCAGCACCAAAGGCATTGGCATCATTACAGACAAGTACCGTCTACACTACAGACAGTGCCATGAGGAGGTGGGGGTGTTCAGCTGGTTCTTGGTCTTTTTTTTTGTTAACTTTCCTTAAGAAACAGAGTTAAGTCTTATTTTTACCTCCAGGCTACTGAAGTCCCAATTGTTCACATAAGGCAATAAATCGTTCACAGTTCTTATCACAGGACATGATCAGACTGACTGATTAATTCTCCTGTACCTGTTTTCTTCCCCAAGCACTGATACTCAGCAAAGTGACATTGAAATAAATCTGAAGCCTGAGAAAAATCTTTCATGTCTTCATCACCATCTACTTACCAAGGCTCACTAATAACATTAATTACAAATGGAATTGTTGCCTTCGGCTGATAAGTCATATTTAATTGCCACCATCTATAACCAAGGGGTCTGGGCGATGCCCACTCATGAGGCCACAGCCTTGTCAGCTCCTGATCAGGGATCGGCAGCCCCAGGGCATCAGGCACAAACCAACAGCTCCCCGAAGCCAGGTCACCCCTGCACGCTACTTGTCACAAATTTGGGCCCTGCTGCAGCACTGTGATGGATGTACTAAGTCGTTAAACGTAGAGGGGAAAGTAGGGGTTGGCAGGGACATGTGTGCCCGATGCAAGCATCAGCACCACCTCTCTTACCTCTCTCAGGATTTTGAAGGACTCTGTCAAGGCCTTGTTTACGGTCCCCACTCCTTTTGCCTGCAGTTCATCCACCAGCTGCTTGAAATGCTAGCCGGAAGAGAGGCAAAAAGGCAGAAATTAGTTGCAGGCAGGGAACTCCCTTGGACTATAGGAGGAAAGGGTAACCTGGAAAAGTCTGTGCCATCAGGCTGCCAACCCTTCACCAGTGCTGGTGGGGCAGTGCTGCACTGTGATGGACAGAGATGGGAAGGTCAAGTGGCTGCTCCACTGGCAGTGCCATCACGTTGCACCTACCCCCAGGCAGCCACAGCAGGACTGCATTTCTCAGCCTGTGGGCTGTGAACCATTGGTGGTCCATGGAACATCACCCAAGTGACAAAATATTAGAAACTGGGCTTTCCCTTATCCACCCCTTCAGGAAAAAACCAACCAAACAAACATTCCTGTGCATGCAATAGCAACAGGATTGGGAAAAACAAAAGTAGTAGACAAGCATTCAAATTTTAACAGGCATTGGGCTGATTGTAAATGAATCCCTCAGAGAGTACTCTCTGTAGGATGGACAGTGCCCAAAAGGCTAGGGGTTTCTTTGGGTACCACTGCAGGAGATATCACCCTCTGGAGTCATACTCAGGGCTAAGCTGGGAAAGAAATTTGGAGAAATATGGTTGTAAAAGACATGAAGGAGTATGGTACCTCCGTGGTATTAATATTGAGAGAAAAAGTAAGAAAAAAAAAACAGTAAGAAAGCTAAAAATACAAGTCAGCCTGGAGGACAGTGGAGCAGCTGGATGCAGGCTGATAAACTTGGGGCTGCTGAGCCCTCCTGCATCAGAGCAGCAAACCCCCTCATCAGAGGATGCTTGCTGGCAATGCACCCTGGCAAAGAGTGAGGCCAGGCTGAGAACATATTCACTGGGAAAGGGCTGATTTTTCTCCTTTCCAAGATCTGAGGACTTGGGGTTTCAGAGATGGAGAACCTTTGCCTTCTGCATGCTGTTTTTCCACAACAGCCTGGGCCAGGTCCACTCGTGCTCAGGCAGTGGTGGTGCCGAGTCTGCTGTGATACAGGGAAGCTGGTTGCTGGCATGTAGCTTGCCAGCTGACTTGACATTACAGCGGCTTCATGTAAGCAAAGGTGAACCAAGGACTCGGCGCACGCCACTGAACTGGTGTTTGTTTCTGAAGTGCAAACCCACGCGCTTCTGGGCAATGGTTGTTTCTTGTCCCTGAAGTTTCAGGCTGCAGCATCTTAACCCCATGTACTTATTGCAATAAGAGAACTACCTGAATAACATTGAAAGGAGCCTGGTACTCACCTCTCTGTTATCTCTGTCTGCTTGTACCAGGATACCCTTAAAACAGGGTTCGATAAAATGAACATAATCATTGTACTGCAAAGAGAAAACGGAAAGAAAGGGGTTGTAGTGGGTGAAAATTCACAAAATGGGTTCACATCTTAGGTGGATGTTCTGAAAACAGCATGGAGCATTATGCTATTTTATACTTATTTCCCTTAAGAATTGTTTGTAGTGATCATGGCAAACTATCATTTTGATAAATCTTGTATTTGTTTAAATAATTATGGTATTTTGCCGAGTTCTATCTGGGCATACCTACACATACAAAGTTACTTTTTTTTCCTCTCACACTCTAGAGATTTTCTCCACACTCTATTAGCTTGTGCCCCTGGCCTTGCTTCTAGCACTATTTACACTTATTTTTGACTTCTGGAGACTTTGTGATTCCCCAGTTGCCAACTGAACCTTGTGAGTGGTTTTGTAGCTTAGTGTCTGATGCCTCTGGCACACAACTGAATGATAACATATTGAGCTACCACACATACACTGACCAGTGATAATTAGTGGGGTATATGCTTGTAGCCTCATACATATGTGAGGTAAAACATATGCCAGTGCAAACCTTTTCCTGCAAGGTTCAGGAAAGCATAATTCATAAGAGCATGGCTAAGAGGCCACTGATGCTCAGCTGATCAATAGGAGCTTAGGTCAGTCTATAATGTGCCTGAGCCAGTAGGTTCTTGGTGTGAGTACGGTAAAGAAATATATATTATATGCTCTTTCTGGGATTGTTTTGGAAGAACAGATGATATTTCCAATTCCTTAATTCCTTCTATCCAGCCATATAAAGACAGAGCTGTCACCATTGGAGTTTCTATTTTACACCATGAGAAGCTATCAACAAGAAGTAAACTTTATATCTCAGTGGCCATGCCCTTGTAAACTTTTATAGAAAGCAGCCTGGGGAAAGACACGGTACTTGAATTAGCTTTGAAAATTAGGAGGTAACCAGCCATTTGCATTTAAGCTGG